TGACTAATCAACTGGTATTCATCAGAATTCACCAGGGGGTGTTGATCGATAAATCTTCTTCCAGTATCATACCCTTCCGGCTTCATAGACATTGCTTATTCATTATTACATATTAATTAAAAAAAATGTGCTTGGGAGGCTTGAGCCTGCTTTATAGTTTATGCCTCATGTCTCAAGATAATTGAATTCCTCRTCTCACACCTTTGCATTTTAAACTTTGATGCCAAGATTCAAAGAAGCAGAGACAGAAATTGAGAGGAGGAAGAAATCTGAAACGTGTGGGTGCAGGAATCCCTCATTGAGCTATTAGCTCTTGGCTCAGGGAACTACCCAAGAGCTGAGATCCTTTCTTTGTTGTAGGGATTAAAATTCGCATACTCTTGAGGTGAACTTATATTATTGTAGAAGGAAATTCTGATTGGGTGATTTTGACTAAGCTCACATGATGTCTGGCCTCTTAGACATTAGATTGGAGAAGTAGGATCGGATCCTTGGCCACTAGACTGGAGCTGAACAGCTTATTCAAATTGGTGTCTTTCTGAACTTCTTTTTGATTTTTTCTTTTCTTTGGGGAGGGTTGGGGGAGCAAGGGAGTGGAGAGAGACTTTATATCTGGGTGTGCAGCARTAGGACTAGGTTGTATTTGATATTTAATTGAGTTTCGTACCAATGGTGTGTTAGCTATAAGCTGTATGTTTTCTATCCCCATCATTTGATTGAGTGCAGGGGTGTTGCAGTTTTTGTTGCATTAATAAAGCTCCTTCACAAGGTTACTGATAAAGTGAATCTAAAGATCTCATTCACATTGTTTGCTACTAGCAGTATCCGAATCCTCTCATGCCATTCAATATGTGTTTCTTCATAATAGATACAAAATAAAACTTGGGACAAGAATAAACATAATGATCTACCCTACAAATGTGACCAAAAATAAAACTTGGGAAAGGTAGGGAAGAAGTCTTTGCTTATTAATATTCTATTGACTCTTTGTCTCTTCTGATATTACATGATGCTGCAAAATCAATTCTCTCTTAACTCT